CTAAGTTGAAGGGATCCCTCCGTTGATCAATCAATGAAAGGAGGAAGGCTTGCGATTCGGGGATGCTCTCAAAAGAAGAGCAATTCGTTGTGGTCGTTGCCAGATGAGATGGTTGTGAAATGCCTGGCTCACTTGTCGCGATTGGATCTGGCGGCCTTTGCTATGACTTCCCAGAGACACCGGTGTCTCGTAGATTCCTCTGAGCTCTGTGACTTGAGATGGGAGATGGGTTGCATCGAGGCATCTCTCTTCGTATGCTTGCACTTCCCTCCAGAGACAAGCCCTCGCTGGTTCATCTTCCACCCCGTGCAACGTCGGCTGAGACCAATCTATCCGCGCTTGGGTCAGTCATTATCATCCTCTTTCGTGAAAATTGATCGGGGCATCTTTGTTATCGGTGGATCCATAAAAGGCGATCCCACTGCGGAAGTCTGGTTTTTGGATTGTTTCAAGCACACATGGTACCGCATTCCGCCAATGAAGATGCCTCGTGTTTTCCCATCGGCAAGCCTGATAGACGGGAAGATATACGTCTTTGGAGGCCTTCGAGATAACGCTGCTGATCCCTCAAACTGGGCAGAGGTATTCGATTTGAAGACCCGAACTTGGGAGTTTTTGTTTGTGTCTACCCCCAAGACTATCTTTCAAAACGTGGTGATAGACAACAAGGAGCTCTACGCGGTTGACAAGGATGGTCAGGTCCTCTCTTTCTCACCAAGTAAATTAGGAGGTACATTTGTGGCATGCGAGAAAACAGATCATTCTATGCCGAGATACAGAAACGATTGGTGTCTCATTGGGACATTGTTATTCTGCCGTGCTTTCGATACGTTATGGTGGTGTGAGCCATCTGAGTTGGATTGGAAGCAAGTCAAGGGTTTGGAAGAGGAGCTGCCACATCCTAAGGACTGGGGATTTTATATCACAAAAGTCTTCACCAACTCTGCTGGGAACATTGTCATCTTGTGGCACACTCATCCTCGAGGTCTTCTTGACAATTTGGACCTTTGGTGTGCCGAGGTTTCCGTGGAGAAACGCATGGGAAGCAGTGAGCTTGAGCTTTGGGGCAAGTTTGAGTGGGCCAGTGCTGTCGTGGGACTCCTTGATTACCTCCCTGTAGCATTTGAAATTCATGTCTTATATGCTGATTATGTCCTTGTTGTTTAAACTATTTGCAAGTACATCTATCTTTTTGTGTGATTTATATAATTTGCAATTCAGTCAAGATCTAGTGCTCGTCTCTTCTTTTTTGGCAAACTGACTTCTCTCACAGGAAATCAAGTATTTTGGCTGATCAGTGTCTGAGGCTTCGCTTTGCATTCACTTTCTCTCTCTTATCTTTCTATTCTTAACAACGTCTTGGTTTTCTTGTGTTTGTTATCGAATCATTTTGGCTGACCTTTGGGTTTTTCGTTTCAACTCCATCTTAGTTTTGTCCATTTGTTCGTCTCCATTCGTCATCTCAGATAACATCTCCTTTCTCTATGCTCTGTTTACAACTTGTAGTTTAGCTTCCTTTTCATTGACAGAAATAACTTAATGCTTTCAGTTTTGTTTATGGATATTTAGAATGATAGAATGCCTATTTATTCAACCAAATTAGAGGAACAAGGTGCACACACATCATCACTTACACAGCAAATTTAGATTAGGCCCATTGCTTTGAGGAAGGTTTGGATGAACCTTGGCTTAGTTCTATCAGTAAAATGAGTATTTTGGATTGCTTTGTGACAAACTCCTACTTTGGCTCCTTGTCCTTGATTCCAATTACAGTCTTCCGGATTCTAAGCGGTGTGTTAGGGTAATGCAAGTAATGGTAATGAATGTGAGGCTGATGATTATGGTACCTTGTAAACATGCTATGTCGGTTATCATAGGAAGAAAGTTCGACCTTGGCCCTTTTGTGTCTCACTATTACACTACTCAAAGTATCACCAAAACATACACAAAGTTTGGCCTTGGTCATTTTGTTCCATATTTAACACAAATAAGGAAGCTAACTAATGTAGTCAAAAACTCATCAGTGTTCTATTATCACACATGCGCTTAGTAAATTATTTAAGAAATCTGATATATATTGCAACCAGGCTGCAAAAGCACAAAGTTACTAGTATTTTCTACAGAAGAAGACATCAACAAATTATATGACGCAGAAAGACAGTATTTAACATAGCAGTTGCACAAATACTTGGCGACCAGGACAATCAACCAAAACGCCACATACCTGAATGTTAAAGGAAAAAGTTTAAATAAACCTCTGGAACCAAGGTCTTTTACACAACTCTACTAAGATCCCAAATCCATTGTAACCGTCTATGACAGCCACTTCGTCATTCAAACAATTTCTATGCAAAATGACAATTTTTTTAGGTGCAAACTGACACTTTGAAAGCAGGATGTCTATAGTCTACAGCCAAATCTCTCTACCAATCAAATTGATTATATATCCATAGTTCATCCATATTCCAAAACTTATATTCAATTAAGCGGATGTACTTCAACTAGCCAGCTAACGCAAGTAGAGTACCGACTAATTCAATGAACTTTTTGTTTTGTTTTGAAGATGCAGGTAGAAATAACCTGCAATAATCGCTTAATTTCTCTAAGAGGCCACGCCCAACGAAGCATCGTTCCTGAAAGAGAGAGAGGAAGCATCAACAATGTGCTTCGTAATGCTACTTTTTATCTTATCTAAAATCATAATAAAATGTATACCTGATATATCTACTTGAAAAACTGGAAGAAAGAATGATCTGACAGAGCATGGCATGCTGGAAGTTTGACTAAAAGTGCAAAGATGACACGAACAGCGGCATAACAACCCAATACAATAATTGTATACGCAGAAGAAAAACTCATCCGAGTTTGGTTTATTTCTTTCCTGCAGAACCTTCCTGCAATATGTGTTCCACAAAAGGTTAGCTCTTTTGCAGAATGCAGACAGACTCTGTCGCGAAGAATTAGCTCACGTGAAGAAACTGGATACGAGCACATAAACATATACCACAAATACTCTACAATCTGTAAACAAGTAATGCTCGACAACAAGATACATGTACAACTCTACAATCTGTCACTGAATTTTCTAATTGTAAGACCAACAGCTCAGTCAGCGATATTTACATTCAATGAGTAAGATCTTGAAAGTATCTTTATCGAGATGTTCTTTCCTGAAGGCTATAATCGTCAAAGCCTGTGGACCATATCAAATTCAAGCAGGAAACTTCATAAATACCATACCAACCTGAAGCATTATAGCCATGAAGATCAAAAGCCTGTGAAAGCTTCGTAAAAGGGGGAGGTATGTCCGATGCTCAACAAAGCTGCTTTTACCAGTCTAACATCAAAATAGCAGGAAAATGGATACGTCAAATTGCTGCAGAGGAGTATGACAAAAGATAGAAAAAGAAGCGTAGACATTTTGGTGATGAATGACAAGCTTTATGCAGTGCTTTACAGCAATCTTTTTGGAGGAGTTGAAATGATTGAAAAATCAAAATGGTTGGGTTATTTAGAGTAATTTCCCCATACGCGCATAGGAGATATAACCCCCGCAACTGGAAAAGACGCCAAGACCCATTAGGGCACAATTGTTATCCATACATATAAGTGTTACACCAGATAACATCCTAAATCACAATAGTGCCTGAAGCAGAACTAACGAAAATTGAAGCCAAGATAAACTACGTGGTCACAGATGATTAGTGGGCCAAACCAGAAAGTTACCAAACATAAACTATCTGCGTGAACAAGACTTACCCTTTTTCGCCCTTTAGGTTTGCTTAAAAATCGCGCCTCTGTTTTCATAGGCCAGCTTAACTCAAAGCAAGCAGGTGTCCTGCATATAAAACACCCCTCGAAAATATTTTATTCTTCCAAATGTAATAGTATTAATAAAAAGTATTCATTGAAGTCATCATAATTCCGCCAGTCAGAATGAGCAGCTTTCCCATTATTGTTTCGAACAGTTTCTCACACAAGTATCAATTTTCAAAAGTAAGATAAGAGCTTAGAACGACCATATAATAAAAACGTTAATGGAAGACATGTTTGAATCCACATTTACTTAGTCCAGAGATAGCTAACACAGAAGTACGATCTAAACTCAAAACTGAAGTAGGGATGTACTTTCAAAATTAAGAACTGGAACCACTAAGATACTTTGTCAAGAAACTGATGGGAAGATCTTTCAGATCATTCTCAAAAGTTGGACATTATAAGTCAGTGAGCTCTGAAAATCAATTAAAATTATGACCAAAAAAAAAAAATCAATGAATCAGGTTAGTACGCGACTGCTACTAAATTACATTGGTTATTCCACCTAGGAGATCCTTTTGGGTAGGAAGAAACAAAGAAAATCAAGATAGTTACATTATGCCTAACACCTAGTGTGCTTAACAAAAGGTAATATAGAATGAATACATAAAACCATTACAAGGGTTTAGAAAATTAAATAAACTGAACTATCTTTCCAAAAGCTCTAGTTGAGTGAACGAAGTCACTCTCAAACTATATTTTTTTCCCTACCATGCAAATTATGTATTAACATACCAACAATTGGAGGAGAAACAGGTACATTTAACTGTCAAATGGAAAGCTAATTTAAGATGCAGAGGAAAAATTGTAATAGCAGGTACTCACTGCTGATATTGCTTCATATATAGGGCAGATAATTCGCTCAAGATATGGTATCGAACCAATTTCAGTTAAGCAGCTGTCAGCACAGACAGCTTCTAGATGATATAGTTTTGCATCCAATTCCTTTGCCATCTAACAAACAAAAGCAACTGTGAGTGAAAAGAGCTATCTTTTTTACTTTCATGACCAAAAAGGTCCTTGCTAAATTAGAGTATGCCAGGCTGGTGCTTGAACAGAAATTAAAAGCCAAGATGCAGAGTCGATCAGATGCTCTACCAAGTTTTTTCTTGGCTTGGTTGTAACGTTAATAGGAGGCAAATGAACAGCAGAGCAACACTAACCAAAAAATGTAAACCTAGGAATTTAGATTTTTATTCCTCAGCAAAAAAGAAATTATTTCGCTAATAAAAAGAAAACATGAATATACTGAATAACAGAAAATTAGCATATAATCAAAAACAAAAATGGTATCTTACATGGTGAAAATTATAGCAGATACACTCCGGAAGAAAACGGACATTAGCAGCTTCACCCAGTTAATGGCTTCTAACCTAATTAAAAAAAAAAATCAAAATTAATTAATTCACATGATATTGAGCTAGCATTTCCATATCAGATCTAGAAAAAAAAAATATTACTTATTGTACACAACGCGCATCCTCAAGTATTTGCACCACTTGATGTAGTTCTCCAAAACCTTCAAGAAAACCTCATTGACTGCTTTCTCATCAATTTTCTATATAAAAGGGTCGGAGATGACAATCTTGAAACCAACAGGACAATCGTGACTAGTTCTCAGTCAAGGGGTATGCCACAACAGAATATTGCTGTCAAAAGGAAAACTCACTGGGTCATTCTGGCCAGGTATACTAAGCTGGGATTGTGCATTTGAAAGTGTGAGAACCAGACGCTCCCGTTGGTTCCTTACATTATCTCTCTAAACAATACTCAGGGAAGATTTTGGTCCAATGAATACTAGTGTACCTGAAACCCAAAGATGACTCCATCAAATCAAACATATCTGCACCATGTTGTCCGGAAATTCAAAATTTTCAGGCAGGCTGTTCAGCATATTTAATTGCTTGTACTGCACCACGCACCTAGATAGAGACAATAGCTTCTTACTGAGTGAGAAAAACTTTGAAAAGCTAAAAAAATACTAACAAAATGAAATAAATGTAAGTTTTCATTCCTTGTTTGACTTACTTCAGGGAAAACCCCAGTTGCATTGGTCATGGACTGGGCTTCTAGAGGAACAATGTTGTATGGATTTAGCTCTGCTGACAAAGTGGCATTGGCTCTTTTAATTCGCCCAAGCTGAGAACAAAAACAGCAAATATTACTCAGCTCATACAAGCTAAGTATATAACATGAGAAACTCATTTATTGATTAATGATCAGAGAAAACAGTTATAATACATCCATTCAGATGCAGCTTCTGAGCCAAGTTCTTCAATTATCAAAGTTATTGAATGTATATTATGAACGCTTGGCATCACCAAAACAGGAAGTGGAAAGCAGATTAAAGTTTTTTGGAATTACGACACATAACAGGTAACATACCTCCTCCCTGATAGACCTTCCAGCACCGTCTGGATCTGCATCTCTGCTTAACACCTCAGTTAAGGCCCTCAATGTAGAAAAGACCTTCCTCATCTTCAAGATCCTATGTCGAGAGAAAACCAACTGGTAAATCAAAACGGCAAAGTAAGACAATACTGCATATCAGAAATCATATCCACTATACAGAATCGCAACCATATACGTGAACGGAGGCGATCATAATTTTTATGTACCAAAATAACTTGTAAGGATACCAGACAAACTAATCTGCACCAAGAAAACCACTCCCAGATGAAAGAACAAGCATCAACATAATTCAGGATGCATGGTTAAGATTATTTTAGGCAGTTCATAGGTATAGAATCCAAACACTGTCCAAAAAAAAATGAAGACCGCAAGGATTAACGATGCACATACTCCCCCATATTTGAAGAAAAAGTTGTTCCTGACTCCCTCCATTTCTGCTCTTCCCTTTGGATATCATCCACTCTATGCGGTCTTTTATAAAGTTAGTAAAACTGCCATAGGCGTTCAATATCACGATCGCGGTCCATTGAAGCACCATCTCTCTTCACAAGTTTTGGCTGCAAAGGTAATTAAACACCTTCAATTAAGAATGAGTAAACATACCATTTGACAAAAGATATTTGGCGTATAGACGTAGACAGCAAGCTATATGCATGTGAAAATTATACTACAAATGTAGCTTAAGGATGCATTCAGACAGCTATATGCATGTGATCAAACCCAATAGACAG